AAATCTGCACTCTTTCTTGAAGGTCTAAAAATTTATCTGAAGCTCTATGACCATTATTGTGATTTTTCTCAAAGTTCTGTACTTTTGTTCTGAACATCTTCGAACTTTTCTGATGTTTAATAATTTTTCAGTGGATCTGCAAACTTCTGTGAAATTCTTTACATTTCACTGTAGATTCTTGGACTTTTCTGAAGGTCTGCGAAGTTCCCTGAATATTTACCAAAATTTCCCTAATAGTTTTACAAATTGATCTGAAAATATTTAGGCTTGCTTGAAGTTTTGAAAATTTCTTTGAACATTTTTCTGAAGATCTATGATCTCTCTTGTGATTTTTTTTTCTGAATTTCTTATAATTTCTGTAAAATTTTCTGACGTTTTCTAGTTCTGTTCTCAAGATCTACGAACTACTCTGAAGCTCAACAAATTTATCAGTTGATCTCCAAATCTCTCTGAAGCTCTGAAAAATTCTTAGTAGGCTTTCAGACCTGCTGTCTGGCATGCTTATTCTTATATGATACATACTTCGTATTTTATAAACACTGTTTTGTTGACGTTCAAACACACTGGAAAATAAAAATCAGTCAAATTATACACATTGAACAGTGAAATCGGTTTACCTTGCTGCTGGATGTCATCAAAACACAACGACTAAAGCTGGCAGTGGGTGAGATATGGATGATATGTTTGTTCTAGCAAAAGTTGCGCAGGATCTGTACCTTTCTCTGGAGACCTCATTTGTTCCGAAATTCCAACTGAGTGGCAAGATATGTCGATTGAAAAAAAGTGCGCCGGTTTGTCCCCATCACTCCTATATACTTTTCTTACCTGCCATATTTTCACTGTTGAATTTGGGACACTTCTTTAAAAGCTCCCAGCATTCCATGTAGCGGAAATCCTCGCCGTGTTCTTGCGTATACAACTGAATGGCTTTATCGAGCTTATCTTCCTCGTTCGTCCCGCTTTCATTCAATCTAATTATGGCTTTGTAACAGCCAGAAAACTTCTGAACTGCGCGGCTAATAACGCCCCACCGCTGTCTCAACCCCTCTGGAGTTCTCGCCTCAAATGATTTAATTTTTGCCTTGCAATCATCGTGGACAGCCGACCAAAAAACTGTCACACTTTTATAGGCGCCTTTGATAGAATCTTGCGAGATGTTGATCCAAGAGATACATAATTGTTTACTTCTTGGTCAGAGAACTTCTTGCCTCGTCGATTTTGTGACATGATCTGTTTTTGTAAGGAGGAAAAAAATAATATGATGAGTTACAATAATTTCAGTCTTGAGGGCCTATCATATAATATGTCAATATTTTGACAAAAACTGTAATGTTAAGCTCCGTTAGAATATTTTTAGTAGACAAGCAAGACTTCCCTGGAGCTTCGTCAGGTCTTCCCGATCTTCCTTAGGCCAGTCCAAATTTACGGCAGGAGTTCCCGAAACCTCAGCAGGACTTCCCGGAACTTCGACAAGACTTCCCGGAACTTCGACAGAACTTTTCGGAACTTCAAAAAGACTTCACCTGAACGTCGGTAGAATTTTCGCCAATACTTCCCGAAACTACGGCAGGACGTCCCGGAACATCAGTCAGACTTCCCTGGAACTTTTTTAGGGCATCCCAAATTTTCGGCAGGACTTCCTGGAACTTCGTCAGGACCACCCTGAGTTTCGACAAGACTTTCTGGAACTACGGCAGGACTTCCTGGAACTACGACCGGTCTTCCCGGAACCTTATCAGGACCACCCAGATTTTCGACAAGACTTCTCGGGGGAAAGAGAAGGGGCCATCATCATCATCAGGACTTCCCGGAACTTCAGAAAGACTTCCCTGGAACTTCATCATATCTTCCCGGAACTTCTTCAGGATTTCCTGGAACTTCGTCAGGACTTTTGTTTTGTTCGGACCACCCGGATTTTCTGCTAGACTTTTTGAATCTTCAGCAGGACTTCCCAGAACTTCAGTAGGACTCCTAGACTGAATAGCGTATCATTGTGCGAAAACAGCGCACTCCTTCCGCATAATCATGAAGATAGAGCCAGACAACCAGTTTTCGCAGGGAATTCAACATCCTCAGCACCCGTCGCATTTTAATGTAGCTCTGTGGCTACAAAGCTCAGCTTGAAGTGAGCTGATCGGATCAGATTCTTCTGCGTGTGTGAATCTTACCTATGGTCGACAGCTTCCACACAATTCACGACCATAGGTGAATCGTACGTGTATTTGTTGGAATCGCCAATCAACCCGACGACGAAAACATTCGACACGTAGTTAATGATAACTTCCTGACTAATTCGCAATACTTGGTCCCCGAGAGAGCAGGCAACAGGTACTGCGATCCATGGAAACCAATCCCCTGAACGTGAAATTAAAGAGAAAGTGTCAGCATTTACGACAGCAATCGCCACTTTCCATCCTTAATATGGTTTACGATGCACATTTGTTGGGCGGCCGTCAGCACCCCCGAACTGGATGCGAAAATTTTCGCATTAGGCACCTCCGACATATCATTTACCAATCTGAAACTTATCCAGGAAGTTCCCAAATATTGTATCGCCACAAAGACACATCGCTCTGAAACCAGAGGAATTCCTCCGCATCGGACCAACCTATGCAAATCAGTTTTCCGCTGCTATTTTTTGTTCAGTTTGCTGGGAGGGCGTGAACGGTCATATGCTCTATGCGGAAATTATTTCAAAAACGCACTGCAAAAGATAAACGTTTACAAATAAATAAATCAATTTAATTACCTGCAAAATCCGCGAAACGAAACTGTTGATAGAAGATGAAGCGAAGGGAAACGTTTTTTTTTCTGTCTACTCTGCCGTCTCTGCTGGTAAGCTTTCATCTGTCAACAGTGAAAAGCTCACAAATACACTCACAGAATTTGAAACAGAGTTCCATTTCTGTTTCAAACACGCGTAAAAATGAACAGAACTGTCGAGCAGTTGCAAATTTGTTCCAAACAAGTGCTCGAAAAATGAAACTGCAACTCAGCATTGCGAGGGGTGTGTTTTTGTTCTAGTTTCAAATTGAAACAGCCCATATAAAAAACAACAGCATTGCGAATAGCCTAAGCGTACCTTAAACGTACCTTAAAATGCTGTTCTGAATCTCACACGGCCACTGAACTCAGAGAGAGAGAGAGAGAAAGAGTGTGTCTTCTACTCAGAGGTATGGATAAATTTCTGAAAACTGCAGGTACTCCACACTGAGTATCTGCATTTTTTAGAAATTTCTCAAACAACTGAGTGACTCTTCCTCTGAGTTATTCTCAGTGATCGTGCAGCAAATAAACGTCATGTTAGCTGAGATCTTAGGCTGTGAACCATTTGCCGAGTTAAATTTAACTCATGGTTAAAAATGACATTTCGAAAGTTATTTTCTATGTTCGAAAATTCCTGTGCTGTCGATCGACCGGTTTTCGAGAAAAACTTAGCCACAGTTGTCAAAATTTAACTTCTTGTCTGTCAGGAGTAACCACGCTCTGATAGCAGGGTTAATCGATAACTTTCCATCTGTCAAATTTTAACCAAAAGTTAAAATAATCCACTAAATGGTTCAGAGCCTTAGTGAAATTGATCGCGGAGCACTTGGCTATGCAAATCTCGGCAAAAAAAAACTAAGTGTTTGCACGGCCAACCAGAACGACTCAGAGACTGAATTCAATTAACCACTTCATTCGAGCACTTAAAATGACGTTTACTACCACTTAAACTGCAGTGTTCACTCGGCTGTCGACAAAAGCAGGCCACTCTAGATGTGTGCTACGCGATCGTCTGTTTACTCGGCAGCAACCATTGTGTGGTCCTCCTCATTGTTCTTCATCAGCAGTTCTTTCGGTCGATGCGTCGTCGACTTTGGAAAGCAACCGTTTCGTGATGAGTGTGTGAGTGCTGACCACGTTTTGCGTCCATTGCTGCAATGGACGCGCTCTGACCCTCGTTGGCGTACAACAATTTGCTATACAATTAAACTACTGGAAGCGGCTCCAGTTCTGATGGAGGAGGCTTTTTGGATAGCGGAAGATAAAGTGTTTATTGTGTTGTACCTTTTGACTATAGTTTTAAGATGTATTGTATAGTGACCAAGAATCCTCGGCTCTGTAAAGTTAATTCGGTTGAGCCTTATCAAATAAATTAATATACAAAAAAAAAAAATACCACTTAAACTTTGAAATAAAACATTATTTTGAGATTTTTTTTCTAGAACCACGAGAAAAGTAGCCATCATTTGTGCGTTTCATAAAAAAAATAGAAATTAGTTGGTCCAGTTTTGTGAAATCGCTGGTAAAAAGTCACGCCAAAACTGCTTGACAAAGTGGTCAATGGATCACATCATTCGAGCAGTTTAAAATGACGTTTCCTACCACTCGAACTTTAACGTGGAACAATATTTTGATATTTTTTCTTCTACAACCTCGAGAAAATACGGTCTTATTTGTTATATGCTTGAAAAATCTGGAATTTATTGTTTCATTTCCGTAAAATCGCTGGTAGAAGGTTGTCCCAAAACTGCTCGACAATATGATTAATTGTCTCAGAGCATTTTTAGTCCATACGAAATTTAATCATATTTGGGAAAACCTGCCGTCACTCATAGCTAATGAGTAGCTGCAGGTTTTCCTAAATATGATTAAATTTCGTATGGAAAGAAACTCCTCTGAGTCAATTGAATTCAGTCGCTAAGTCGTTCTGGTTAGCCGTGTAGGTTGTCTTAACGAGCGAACCAAAAATCGCAAGTCAACAAGTCATTATTTCTGAGTGAAGATGCAGACGTTTTTCTGATTTGAAAACAGTCCCGAGCGCCGGCACCGAAATAATAGACTTCCGTTTCAATCCAATCCTTCCACACAGCGACAGCTGAGACACTTTTTTTTCCTTATGGAGACATTTGCCTTCTATCCGCAGCAGTCACGTGAAAAACGTGACAAATTTTCCACCTGATTGCGATTGCACATGCACAGTTTTTTCTAAATGGTTGACATTTTCCAACCCGCAGGGAATTCTACTACATTCAAATGGAGAAGTACGCCCGGCAGTCGGCTAGCGAAGGCATGAAGAACGTGGACGACATCCATGTGAGCAATGACAGCGAGATTTACCGTGTGCTCAACTTGCACTACAATCGGAATAATCATATCGAGGTAAGTCGAAAGTTTTGGACGAAATAATAGGCCCCACCAAAACGGGAACAAAACAACAATACTCATTTTCAACCTTGTGTACAGGTGCCCCAAAATTTCCGATACGTTGTTGAGCAGACACTGCGGGAGTTCTTCCGCGCGATACAGGGCGGAAAGGACACCGAACAGTCGTGGAAGAAATCGATCTACAAAATCATTTCCCGATTGGATGATCCTGTACCGGAATATTTCAAATCTCCCAACTTCCTCGAGCAGTTGGAGTAAGAGAAAGCCTACCAGTACCAGAACAAACAATAACAAGCAAAACAATAACTTAGTAAACAGCAAGCAACATAGAGAGAGAGAGAAAGAAAGAGAGAGGTAGCGAGGGAGATGGAGATTCGCCGCTGCCACAACACCAGAAACCTGCAAACACCGAATCAATAACCAAAATAACTGAGGGAAAAAGAGTAAATAATAAATTTAACAGAAGAAACAAACAAAGATAAGAAGTTACTTTATTAATTATAAATTTAAAGCAAATTATACAAAATTGTTATCTAAACAAATTTAAAGCAAAAAAGAAATTTAATTTTAGAGAAAAAAAAAGTAACACAAAGTATAAATATATTGTTTAAAACAAGCAAGCAAAAGCAAAAACAAAAAAACGAAAACAAACCAAAACTTAAACAAGAACAAAACATCTAATAAGCGAAAGCATAAGACATAAGAAGTAACAACAATTTGTGGTTCCTATAATGTAGTGTGCTTACGTCCGAAATAAACTAAAGAAACAAGAAGAAGAAGAAAGAGAGAGAGAGAGCGAAAGCAGCAGCAAAGTCAGACGGGAAGCAAAATTCCAAAAAGAAAAGAAAAAACCAAACAAAAAAGTACTTATACGAAACAGCACGGTATACTCGCGTTTAGGCCTTCATTTCCAAAACAACCAACAAAATTTTAAGAAAGCAAAAAAAAATGCATTCATTCGAACTCAGTCAGTGAATAGATTTAAAAACGAAAAAAAAAACCTCAAAATTTAAATGTTTTGACATCTCTAAAAAGAAAACAAAAACAACCTCAAGGAAGCAAATAATAAAAAAAAAGACGAGAATCAAGCGGGGAGATACCCACAATTTCGCGCGGAACAATTTACGGATCACTCATTCGGAAGAGGAATGTGATAAGAGAAGAAGAAGAAGGGACACGACGTGGGGAAAAAGGAACATCGGAAAGAGTAAACTGTATTGCAACTAGGGACGTTCTTTCGGATAGGAAAAAAAAGGGAAAAATACAATCATCTAGGGAATAACTTTCTTACAAATCAAAGAAAAAGCAGAAGAAGACGTTGCGGGAGTGAGAAATGACATTCAGGTCACTCACATGCCAACATGTGAAAATGGATAAAAATATTGTAATTATTGAACTTTTTCCTTGAAATCGTTTGATAACGCTTTAAGTTGTAATTATTTTCTCGCTTTAGTTTGTCTTATTCCTGGTCGGTTAAAACCAACCAGAACCGGGGTAAAAAAAATCTATGTGTATACTTATTTAATCGAACAAAAAATGGAGAAAATATGAACTTTTGGCAAACAATGCGTGAAACTTAAACATAACCAAAAACTGAAAATGAATCAAGCTTTTAGGCTAAGAAATTTCGATCGAAACGGAACGCCCGGCGGCCTGCTTCGTTTCTCGCCGCGCCCAAGTGGTGTAAGCGTTACGCACCGTTACACTGAGGGGGGAAAAACAGAATTTGTAAATATTGCGAAAAAGAACAAGTGGAAATTATTTATTATCATTTTTCGGCGTCAGATGTAATAAATTATTGTTTATTTTGGGACCTGTACAAACAAAAAAGTTGTAATCTAAATTTTTAACGCAAATATGAAGGGAAAGAAAGGAAGCAAAACAAAAAAAAAGCGGGGATGGAAACGGCAAGTTTTTGGACTGGTTAGGTAGCAAAATTTGTTTTCGTTTTTTGAGTACACTATTTTCGGCAACGTTAGACTAAAATTTAAAGCAAAAGGGGAAATGTTTCGGCTATTTAGGCGTTTTTTTTTCTCGGGAATGATAGACGGAGATCCAACTGTTTCGGCTTTTTCCGGGTTTAGGATACGGGGCGGGGGACATAGTGTAACACAGCGTAACGCTAACGGCGCTGGCCGGCAGAAACGGGAAAAGCAAACGCCGTCCGTTCAGTGACGACGGTAAGGAACGTTGTTGAAAAAGAAGACAAATTTAAACTCTTTCGGCGTGAGAAACCTAACATTTGTAGATAGTCGTGTCCGTGAAAGCAAACTATTTCCTAATCCAAACAAAACAAAATGAATCGTAAACATTAAGGCGTAAACCACATTCCAAATTAAGCGATGTGCATTTTTTGAACGAAAATTTCTCGCACCTGTCCTGTCACCACACACACACACACATCGCGGGACAGGCGGATGTTTGTATTTCTAGGACGTTAGCGGGTTAAGTGAAGCTTTATGGTCTTATTATTTCGTGTCTTTTGTTTCAAATTTTACACTGAGCGAATAGAGCCGGGCGCCATTGTTAGCTGCCTCCCGCCGTGCCACTGTGCCCGGAAGCGAGCAATCTTTCGAAATTCGACTAGCAACAAAAACTTTTAGGCAAATTTCCACAACTAGAAATTATCTGCAATAGAGCACAACGGAATGGATTGGCCAACTGGGAGAAGATTGCTGCGATTCGATCCAAGGCTGTGCGTGAGCGTGGAGGGAGCTGGATGGCCAGGCCCGGCCAAGGTCGCAAATCTAAATCATACCAAAGTTAATCAAAGTTTTTAAAAGCGATAAGTTTCACCCTAGTCTACATACCATTACGATTAATATCTCTCATCGACTGAGTTGTATCAAACTTTCGCGTAGAATAGAGAAACCTTTCCTTTTTTTTTGTCTACGTTTGATGACGTGCGGGAAGAGATAAATTCTTGTGCAAGGGATATGTGTAGAAATGCAAGAAACGAGGTACAAATGGTGTACATTTTTTTTAAGGCGTTAGTAAGGTAACCTTTCCAAATGTTTTTAAATTGTGAGTTTCCTAGTCTTGTGTAACACTTAAGTTCATCGTTTCTGGAAGGAGGAGAGGAAATTTTGGCGATAAGCGAACACAAATCTACTGCTAGAACAAACCAATCACACGGTTCTATTTAAGATAAAAAACATTATTTTATAAAGTTTCGTGTAAAGCTAAATCTAGCGAGTAACTTATTGGGTAAGCGTTTGAAACTTATTTAAACTTTGAAAAGAAAACAAAAAACTATTGTATAATCATTTATTTAAAAAAAATGTGGAAATATCAAGAAAATTGGTTATTTTTGTAACTGAATTATAAACTTCTATTATTATTATTATTATTATTGACATTAATGGAAAATGTACAAAAAATAATAAATCTAATCGTATGAAAAGTTAATCAAAATTTTTATAATTTCCGAAATCTAATTGGCAACACTGTTTCCGTTTCAATTCCATTCATTTTCATTGTTGTTTTCGTATTTTTCGTTGTTTTCAAGTGGAGAAAAAAAAAACAAATTCATGGCGATTCATAGTCCTAAAAGAAAACGTAAACTATATATTTATATCATGCCTTCAAAATTTTAACGACAATGTAACTGAAATTGTGATATTAAAAATAGAACTCCCCCCCGGGGTCCGGTCGCTCAGCCGTACGGAACCGGCGAAGACGAGAGAGGAGACCGCAACGCGAGCGGGGGACCCAAAGCACGGACCGGAAGCGAGCGTCCGCGCTCTAAGGTTCCTATAGATTTAAAAACTAACCAACTAACCTAAAAAAAACACTCCGTGTGCGTGTATGCGTGCGTTTGGGTGCGTGCCGGTCAAACGGCCAACATGCCCACACACACACACACTCCCACACCGTCCAATCACCAATGCTGTGATGTGTGAGCGTATTCTCCACAGCGATGGAAAGTCTGCGCTTCCGGCTCGGTTCGTGGTCCCGCCAGCGATTTTGCGGTCATTTCCCGGAGGTCACCGCCCCTTCCCGGGCAGGGCGATCGGAACCGCCGACCGCCAGAGGGAGAATAGTAAAAATTAAGGGAAATTAAGCTTTCGGTAACTCAAAAACTAAACAAAAATTACGCGATCGATCGATCGATCGAGCCGCGAAAAATTACACAAACTTTTGGATATTTTTAGGCGCGTGATATAAAACGTAAACAAAACAAACAAAAAAAAAGAAAGCACACAAACATTGAAACAATGGCAACATTTTTGGACGATTGACATGCAAAATTGTTTCCCCGGCATATTTAGGAGACAAGACAACACAACCTTTCGGAATGACGGGCAAAAGGCATTTTTTGGTTCGATTTTTCTGTTTCTGTTTTACTATAGGAAGCCGATTGACGTTTCGGGTCCGAGATCGAACGGGGTGTGATTCCGTGGCACGCGGAATGGAGTGCGGGTTGATCCGGTGGGGCCTGAATTCGGGAGGAGGTTTACGACGCCGACGGGGCGACTCAGGAAGAGCTGGCAGCTCGCCAAAACACGAAACCCTTCGAAAGCCACAGCGCAGCGCTTCGAGATCCAGTGACCAGCAACAAACAAACAAACAACAACAACTACAAACACAAACAAACAGACACAGCAGCATAAAAAAAATGAAAATAGATAAGGCATTAGTTCATAAGCAGCTCTCAACTTACAACAAATACAATATAAATGGTAGTGTTACATTATATTTAATTATTCAAACCAAGATATATCTTACTCTTATTAATCAGTGTGTTTTAAACAATAGTATTGCAAGCAAACAAACAATAGCCTACTCTCATCATAAACAATAATCAACCACAGAAAGCAGAATTTGAATTATACCACAACTCACTGGCTCCGAAGGAGTGCGCTCGCAGCGAGAGATTTGGACGCTGCGCTGTGGATCCGCCGACCTGGTTCCAAGCAACGTCGACCCCACCGACTAGTGTGGAAGCATCTCGAACGTTTTCCACTCACACACACACACACACATCCACATACTCACATGTCCGCGGACACACGCCGCCGGGGCTCCAGCTGTCGCGACACACATACGGAACAGGAGGACCCTCCTCCGGACAGGCCGACCCATGCCCGGACCCGTCCCCCTCGGGGGCCCACGCGTACTTCGGTCTACGTTGGCGCGCCCTCGGGATCTCCACAGAGGAGATCTCGCGCCGTCATCGCCGGCCAGAAGCGTCAAAGTTGTGGAATTCTGTGATTTTGCGCGATTTTCATCACGGTCCATAACTTTCCCGAACCGCGCCCAGCTACCATCTGTGGGGCCAACTTCCGTGTGGTCGTTCCCGAGCTCCCGGGGATCTTGGTCCCGGGCCCGCGCCCTCCGGACTGACCGTCCTCGGCCATCATCATTGAAGTGCACGCACGGAGCTTCGCAGGCTGTCCCATCCCACGTTTGGGGGAATACATTCGAAGGCACTACCCACCACCGCTCCCCGTCGCAGCTAGAAACGAGTGCGCCCGTTTCAGCTGAGTGGAGCTGCTGTCAGCTTACAGTCGGCATAGAAATGTTGCTCCGTAGGAACCGGGCGTAATTTCGAACCGGTTGCCGGTTTCGGTGAACTGCTAGCTCTCCGGCTGAAGTGTTCCGAGGGGTCGACCCCTCCCACGGCAGTGCGCTCGTAATCCCGAATCATCCCGAACTCCAATCACCGTCTCCAAGTCGCCGACCGGAAAGGACCGGCACCTGAAGGCCAACAGGCTAAGCATAGTTGTGTAAATATCGTATTTTTACCCTTGAGTTGATTATTTCTCGTCTTTGAATTGGCATTAAGGTAAAGTTTTCCCTCCCCCATGAATTTCTCTCTGATTCTAATTGGCGTGTGATTGGCTTTAGCGGTGCAACAATTGGCGCATCAGCAACATAGATGGTAAGTGCTCAAAATTTTTCCAACCTGTTTTCAGCAACTCCAAATTGGGCAGAAATTCTGGGTGTAGCGTATTTTTTGTACAACCCCCTATTAAGGTCAAAAGTGAAAGCGAAACGAAAATTTAATTGAAAAAAAAAAAACAAACCGTTACAAACCATTACACACCGGCTTCAAGCGTTCGTGCGAACGAGCCGCGCACGCTCAGCAAGCAAGCGAGCAAACTCCGGTGCATACATTTAGGCGATATGCAAGCGTTCGGGGATTGAAAATTACACTGCAACAAGACTGATTTTGCAAATCCAGCGCAAACAAAACTAATATGCAATAGTGTCGAAAAACAGGAAACCACAACAAATGCACTCGGTTTTCTTGCAAGTTTGAAGCGAACGGCGAGAATCGTAACCGTCGCATAATATCCTTACTCAAGTTCAATTACGACCGGAAGAAGAAAGCAGAAACGTCACATCCCCCGTCTTATGATATTTATGTTAAGCAACCCAGTCACAAACGAAAAAAAAAAAGAATAAAAGAAACAAGAAATCCATTAACTCGTAGGTATTTAGCGAAGCAAAAACCAGGAAATAGGAAACAAAGAAGCACCCACAATGTACACAAAACACTACTACAACTACGAAAGGAAAAAACAATTGATTTTCAGAGGATGCCAATGCATCACCGCATCAACGCAAAACAAAAATTTCCGTTCATATCGAAGCAAATTTCTGTTTGGGATATGTCCTTCCGCGGGCAGGCAGATGCGCACTTTCGGAACGAACTCGCGCGGATCGATTGGGTGTTGAAGTTTCAACCAAAAGGAAATAAACAATAGAACGGCAATTTAAGCAACTTTAAGTCAACACAAATGGTCTTTGTTACTTCATCTACCACTACCGAGCATTCCGAGCACTTGACATTTGTTTAGCAGTGAAGCACGGCTTCCGACGAATCTCACCGCGGAAGGAAGCATTCGATTCTTTCTTGACGAAATCATCCTCATTTTAAGCGAATTTTCCAGGTGCCACCGGTGGCACCTCTCAATCAATTAACTGCCAATCGATCCGGTGCGATTCCGGGGGAAAGGGACATCTGCTTGCACGATGGGACATTTCTTTTTTTTTATTTTGAATCTTCAGATGGAATAATTTTAAGGCATTTTCAACCGCAGCAGATCAATCGGTGAAATCAAAAACAAAACGCAATACAGTTTACAATAAACGAACGGTAAGAACATACAATAAACAATAAATAGCAAACTAGACAAACACTATATTATTCAGATGTATACAACCACAAAATGCAAACAACAACAACAACAACAAACATGGTTACTTTTATACCAAAAGCAAGAACAACAACAACAACAACCAGGAAAATGTTCGGAATATTTTTTGAAGCAACACTTTGGAAGAAGAAAATGTTTGGCATCGTTTCGAAAGCTCTATTTTTTAACAAGCGAAAAAAAAAGAACAAACTAACAAAACCACGTTTCGGATGATTTTCATTATTGTGTTTGACAGGTTAAGCAAACAAACAGAATACTACTACAACAACAGTTGCGCAATAGAAATATCAACAGGATTACCATCCATTTAAACATCTACAACAAACCAACAATAGATCACGTGTGTCGGAAACACACACACACATAAACACAGGAAGCAAACCCGGACTAGACTGATAAATATTAACCTTCCAATTCACGAACGAACTCAGGGAATAATGCTACGACCATTCGATAATTTTCATATACACACTCGCAGACCCCCACGCGAACGAACGCGCGGGAGTCGCACAAGCAAACCGTTTTTCATTTCTGACAGATTGAAGTAATACAGAAGAAAACACTAGTAAGTAAATATTAATCCTTAATTGAACATAAACAAACTCAAATTCAAAGTAAAATAGCCAAAATAAAAGCATATATAATCAGTATTTGTATTTACAGTAAAACACAAACACAAGCAAACATCATTGTATAGAAGCAAAGCAAATAAAAACAATACACTTTTCCCCCCTAATCGCCAATTCTACCGAACACAAACCAATAGGAAGAACGATGACGTTATGATTGTTGAAAACTTGTTGACGACGAAATAGAGAAAAACCCACTTGCAGTCGGAGAAAAAAAAAGCTGAAAATTTCATGAAACCCAAGCAAATCAATAAATGAAAACTTTTTTCTAACTTTCTAGCAGAAGCAAAAGCAGAAGAGCAAAACAAATGCAAACCAAAACAAAACCAAGCAAAACAGCTAAAAAAAAAAACACACACGAAGCGATTGGCGTCCCGAAACGCCGATCGAGAAAGTTGGAAAAGTGGAAGAAACTTTTCTTTCCTATAATTTACCTTTGAGTTTTTCTTAAATTGCAGTGAAAAAAATATAACAATGAAATGCGAATGAAACACACACACACAAGCATACAAGCACGCTGAGAGGAAATATGCTGCTTGTGATTTTCCTCCATGGGAAGATGAAAAAAAATGTGTGAAAATCAAATGAAATATAAAAGTGAGATTGGCAGAACAGAGAAGAAGAAGAAGAAGACCGCGCCAAAAATCGGAAAAACCAATTGGTTCGATAACAGGAAAAATTGGAAATCAAAACCACAATTGGAGAGAGAAAGATTGGAACGGCGGAAGAAAACAATTCACAAATGTTCGTATATATCACGAATAGTCAGTCACACGAGTGAAGTTCAAAATTTGTGAGGCGATCAAAATTCGAACTCGGATTTCTCTTATTTGATACATTTTTCGAAAATTTAGGGATTAAACGAAAAAAAAAACAAAACCAACAAAATTCTGCTAAAACTGCGGCAAAATTTCACAGTAAAAACGAAGAATTTGGTTCAGTGAAAACAAAATTAGACGAAATTGCTAAAATGAAAACATCAAAACAAACTTTAATGATCATAAAAAAAAAAGAAAAAAAAACCAAAAAAAAAATCTGTATAAATTTTTCAAAGAGTTTAAAAATTTAATTATTCTAAATATTGATTATTTATCAATTAAATTCTATTTTATTCGTTCTAATATGTAAGTTAAAAAGCGAAAAATTAATGAGATAAAAATTGTAATATTAAACAAAAAAAAAATCCAAGCGACCCGGCAACCGGCGACAGCAAACCTGAAATGTCACAACGTGCCAACCAAGCGCGCGGTTAGTCCCGCGGTGGGTGCAAACCACGTGGTGTCCCGCGACTCTGGCCCACCCATTTCCCGGTGTCCCTGCGCGGTCGGTGCCGCCGCCGCCCTGTGTACCCACACTCTGGTGCCGGTCGGGCCGTATCCGGGGACCCACAAGGAGAAATAATGCTGGGAGGAGTCACTTCTGGGCACCTGCGGTTTCCGCAACGGGACGCGTGCAAACGGTGCAAGTTCGCTGCGTTCACCTTTGAGATATCGCGGGCGCACGCCCATACGGCCGCCCCGATTCGGTGTGTCTCCGGTTGGTGGGTTCGCACCTACTGCATTTCATACACACTTACACATTTAATGCAAACAGCGAACCAAAAAATGATACATTTTGAAGTACGCAAGCAAACACACAGACACACAGACACACAAAGTTTCAAATTATAAACAAATCCAAAAATGAATAAAAAAAAAACAACAGCAGATCTGATCACAAAATTTAACGCAAACAAAGAACAGCAAATTCCAAAATCAAACATGGCCGTCGCCGCCGCCGCTGCGTCCGAGACGCGCGTTCGGAGGAGGCGATCGTTTCTTTGACATGCGAAGAAGAAAAAAAGAGTTAAAAAACCAAAAACCGAAAGGTTTCTTAATTTACAAAAAAAAAAATACTTGATATAAGAAAATATCCATCAAAACACGAAGAAAATCGTTTGGCGAATCACTTTTCAAACAGTCTGGCTAAATGTAAACAAAAACAGCAAACATCGGAGAATGTTGGGCGAACGGGGCCCTGCAAAAAGAAGTCATGGCAACGCAAAAATAAAGATATAAATAAACAAAAGTCAAGGAGTTTTGTTTCGTTTCATAACAGGATAAACCGGATCAATGTGTAACAACTAGACTTGAGTTAGAGTTTTTTCCGTTCAGTTCCCTTCGGAACTGGACAGCCATTTCGTTTCCGAAGGTAGTCAACAACACGTCTATCGTTTGGACCGAATGTTTTGTTTACATTCAAACTGCCCTTAGTTTCCTCCGGTCAGGATGGATGAAAATATTTACTAATCATGGTCATTCTTAGTTATCTGAAATGCTATGATTAACACGAATAACATCGATGTTTTTCCGTTTTACCGACAATAGAATTTTATACAGATTGCTGAGCAGATTTATGGCGGTGATGAATCCCTGCGGTATTTCGTAACAGTTGGTCGAAATTCTGCGTTGGCTAAAGAAAAGAAAAGAAAAAAAAACAACACACGAGCCGATTTCGGGTGGGTTTGGTACCATCGAAATACGTCAAAATTTGTGCGAAAAAAAAAGTCAAAAGTCAAAATCGAGATCCGGAACCCCACATTTGGCAGACGGGGAACGCATCGGTAAATCTGCTCAGAGCATATAAAATACACAGGAATGATTTCTCATCATTAAACGAATAGCAAACTTTTCATTTCCAATTGAGTAACCATCCTTAGTTTTAGCAAAAGCAAACAGAAACAAAAATCTATAACCATTAAAAGCATAACCAAACAAAATAACAGTCACAGCATTAGAAATATTTCGGAAATTTCACAGTGTTTACCAAGCAAAAAACCGAATGCTCTCGATATATCTAAAACGTAAACAAAACCAACCAATCATGGTAAATTCAAAATTTGTTGATATATATATATACATAACATCCAATATGACATTTATCAGCGATAAACAACAACAACAACAACTACAACAACATCTGTATATTCACGGAAGGAATGAAGTATACCGACATCACCGGTCAGGATTGACGGTTGCAACACCTGGAAAAGGAAAACAACAATCGAAACAGTAATAATCGATCAAATTTTCACTTCTATTTTTTGCAATAGTAAAAAATATATTCTCATACATCTCGCAGCACCCCTCAGCTGGAGCAACTGGATGGGAGTATATTGAACAAAGTTTTTAGTTTGCAATAGAAACCGGAAAATTACGGCCGGGGCCTATCGGTCATCCATCCGATAGGTGTTCGAAGCAGCAAGCAGCAGTCGAACCGTGCCCGATAGCTTTGGTCGTATGTTTTACAAAGACAATACAGAAAATGACAATTTTATTTCTCATAATTTTTCACTCAAACCAACAGCAGCAACAACAACAACAGCAGCAGCAGCAGCATCAACAATGTTAAAACCAACAACTACTTAACAAACAGCATCAATTTCAAATCAAATTACAAACAATTGGAACGGCAAACAATATCTTGCTCGAACTGAAAAAACGACCATCGAATTGACGAAGAAAGTTTTTAAAGTTTTTCCATTTAATTTGCAATAGACACAACCAAACCAAACGGAGTGATATCTCTAATCTTCCCGGTCCCGGAGCCGCGAAATCCCCCCCTCCTCAAACAAACAATAGATACATACACAAACACAAAACCCAAGAGAGATCAAACCTAACTTAACTTTTAAGCAGCAACAGCAACAAACTCTGGCAACGCAACCCGGCCCCCTTTCGATCGGGGGATGTTTTGTAATCTCTGTAATAAGGCTCTTGTACATAGATAGGACCTCGATCGGAACCGCCGCGGCAGCCCGGAGATTTGTCCCTCCACATTAATATTAACGCATAACGGCCCCGCCTGGGACCGCGAGCGCAGGCTAGCGATATCACTCCCAGCGAAGAATCACACACAACACAGACATAAAGCAAAAACTGAAATAAACCGGAATAATTTAAAGTACAACACAACCATTTTTTAATAATAATATATTAAACTAAACACAGAAGCAAACAATAGTAATTAATGAAACAAGATGATATATTTATATTTTTATACAAATCTTATTACACAGACAAAATCATGCAACCATAAACAAACAAAAAAAAAATTGCAGTATTTAAGCCAAACTGAAACCAAATTCCATCAAAAACAAATGTAAACGAAGAGAACGGAGAGAACAACAACAACAACAACCGAATGATTGAGTAAGAACAAACACACACAAATATATAGTCGTTTATATATTGAAAAATCTTAATCAGTAAATTAAAACCATTAAGCATCCTTATTTGTAAAAATTTTCTTTTCCAAACAACAACAACAAAGCAAGAAACAACACAACATAATGAAAAAAATAGAAATATGCGCGAACACTGACGACGAATCATCATCAACAAATTATAATGCGGCTTATATCAAACCATGAATAAGCAACCAAAAAAATCAGCAAAACTGAAACCTTAAAAAGCAAAAAAAGGCAACACGTAAATCCAAACTTCTTTAAAAAAAAAAATACAAGAGGAAACACTCAGCAGACTGTTAAAAATGTGATCAGATATATATTATATATATTAATAAACTAATTAATTAGACAAAAAAAGGTATATTTAATGGTATGGAATGCATTAAATATCTTTAAATAGAAGGAGAAAACGTAGAAGACAGAGAGATAGAGAGAGAGAGAGAGATAGAGAGAAAAAAAAATCTCAAGCAAAAAGCAGAAACGTGAAAGAGCAGGAGAAGAGTAAAACATAAAGCAAAAGCAAGCACATATTCATTGAGGTGGAACCTTTTGCGGAAACCCGAGAGAGCGAAGCCCGAATGAATATCGACACAAATATATATTTTACTTTTTCTTGTTCTTCTTTTTTTACAAATATTTGCGAATATTCGCTGTTTAATATTGAAATTTTATATACAAAATGTTTTTTATATATACACCAAATTACGGAACGCACGTGCAGAAACAAGAAACTACAGTTATAACCAAGCTCCAGTAAGTGAGAGTCAGAGGAAAACAAAATAAATAAATAAACAAAAGCAAATATTTATACAGTAAAAACCAGTACCAGAGAGAAGGAACAAAGTGGAAGGAACGTCTAAAGCCGAGACAAATATATATATTTATACAACAAAACAATATAAGTTTACACATACTAGCGCAATAGAGGATAAAAAGGTTGAAAAAAAAATAAGGAAAGTTTGTACCGCGTGCGGCTGCAACCCAACCGGGACAGCCGTTCCCGAGTGCAAAATTTTCATATTACACAAAAAATAAACCAAACCGGATTCTGTTCAGATTACACCAGTTCATTTGAAATAGCCAAATCTGTACGCGGGTTGCTAACCTGTAGAGGCCCTTTCCCTAGGGTCTAGGGGATCGATTTTCCCGTCAGTTTCCATCGAACACGGGAGACGAATGTGCTAGCGATACGAACACAAAATGATAGCAGCAATACTGCCAGCACCCGTTGGGATTCTCACCGGGGCTGGCCACCGCGGGACTTGATGACCCATCAAGTCCCGCGGTGGCCAGAAAGTTCCGAATCACTCACGACGAAGCTGCGGTGAAGATTCCAATTCTCAAAACTAACGCACTTTCGACAGCAAAAGCAAACGGGAAATTTTCTCCAGTGCAAAATTGGCCAACAAACGGTTGGCGAAGCGTTTCGCTTGAAATATTTCATGACGTTCGACTCAATGTTTTCCCATTCAAAATCGATCGAAAATCAATTCAAAATTTCACAACTCACCGCAAATCTCAAATTTTGTTCATATTTGCAAAAGCTTAAAAAATCCATTCAGAAGTGACCTATGCCGAATCGAAGCACACTCGTCCGTCTCCCGGAACGTAAGAAAATCGAACCACCGCGAACTTCCGGAAGGCATCCGATACAGCGTTAAATAGCACACAGACCGTACAGTACACAACAGGGATGTTATCTTATGATTTACCGATCGTGATAAACACACGTAACTACGTATTACAAGCAGTCGTCGATACCGACACTCAACCGCCGCGCCTTGCCCCCTCCCGAGCGAACACCGAGGGGCGCCTGGCGTGCGTGTGCAATGTTTGTGATATTAAACAACATAATATAATAGCGAGCAAAATTAAGATTAACACAACAACGCTTTAGTTACAATTATCAACTACAACTTCGCCTTAAGTTTTCGAACATCAAAGCTAAGGAACATGCGGCGTGCGGTGCCGGGCAATCCAGCCCAACGACCATCAAAGGGCAGAAACGTTCCGCCCGCGGCGTCCGATGTTCCACGGAATCAAATCATTGACAGGAGTTATCCCAAAACAAGGAAGAAGCACCATCACCCATCACAAGCACGTGGGACCGTTATCTACTGCAGGATTGCGGGGCAAGCCGCGTAGCCCCGAACATCATCCGCCGGGGGCCCAGAACGCGGCTCAACCCTGCACTTCGTGCAGATGGACGCAGATTTCTTGTCTCTGCAGAAGCAGCAGCCAGCAATCGACCGCAACAACAACAACAACAACAACAACAACAAGAGATGATTGCATCAACTGAGGTAATTGGTGTTTTTCGGAACGATACTACCAAAATAACATCAGAAAACACAACCGCGCTACAACATCAGCGCAAAACAGAGAAGTTTTTCACAACAACAAAATAGCAAAGTAACATAAAAGTGAAACCAAAAAAAAACCGGAGTTATCTACAACAATATATAAGTGTGTTATTGGTAGTTTCAACGCGAAGAAGCAGAAGAAGAAGAAGAAGAAGTAGCAACGTTTAACAGAGAAGAAACACGCAATGTGAACGAAACGATAAAATTTAATATTCGGCGATATTCAGCTCGGTGGTGGTGAAAGTGTGGTTTTCTAGCCGGAATTTAGGGGTAAAATTTTGGGAAATTTTGGGAACAGAAAAAGTTCAAATAGATTGC